GGTCACCACTAGCAAGTAGTGCCAGCCATTCACCCAGGCCGCGCACAGCCAGAGCGTGCCTGCACAAATGCCACGCCCAGCGCGTGGCCACGCGCTGGCTGCGCGTGGCCGTGCTCCCGCGGCCAGCGCTCCCCGTCTCTCACCGCAGAGTTCCCGGTTCTGGTCCGGCACCTTGTCTGGCGCCAGGATCATGGGCAGGCTGCCCACCAGGCCGTTGGTGAGACCCAGCAGCAGCAGGCTGAACAGCATGGGCCAGCCCTCCCAGGCCAGCAGCGGCTCGGCGCGCGGTGCGGCACACAGCACCAGCGGCGGGATCAGCAGGAAGCGCAGCGTCGAGAACGCCACCAGCTGGCGCCGCGACCACTCGTACGGCAGGGAGGCCAGCACCTGACAGGGGTGGCGGTGTCACCCAGGTCACCGGGGCAGCAACTGACGGGATGTCGGGTCATCCAGGTTACAGGAGCGGCGCGCCTGACGGGTGGTGGGGTCACCTAGGTCACCGGAACAGCACCTGACGGGGTGCCGGGGTCACCCGGGTCACCGGAGCATTGTCTGACGGGATGTGAGGGCGCCCAGGTCATCGGAGCAGTACTTGAAGGTTGTGGGGGTCACAAAGATCATCGCTGCAGCACCTGACGGGGTTTGGAGGTCGCTCAGGTCAACGGAGCATCCCGTGGGTCACAATACGTTAAAGTGATCGAGGTCAGCGGATGAATACAACAGGTCATCCAGGTCACCATGTCATCTTTTGGAGTCACAGGGCGTTAAGTTTACCGAGGTTTTGGTCGGGAAGGGGATCACCAAATTCATCAGTCTCAGCTCATTGCGTTCCCAGGCCATGGAAAATGTAGTGCTCGGACCGGCATGATGTTCTTCCACTCGTCGTATGGGATCATCTTGTTCGAAACACCCATCACCTCACCCATCTCTGTCTGACTGTCGAAGCCGATCTGTCCAAGACGAAGCCGGCACCATGCGGCCGCATCGCGGAGCTACGCCTTACCTTGCCGGCGAAGTCGGAGACGTTGAAGATGGCCATGAGGACGACGGGCATCCAGGAGCCGAGCGTGCAGCTGTGCACCTCGCTCTCGATACCAGGGAACAGGCTGAGCGTGACCAGGTACGCCAGGCAGATGGACACCATGTACGGCCAGACCCGGCGCACCGTCGCCGAGCGCGCCTGGGTGCCGCCTGGCAACCGAAAAACACCACAAAATCAAGGCGAGTCAAGGACATTACAAGGTGAGGACAATATAACGAGAAGGACAATGAAGACAGGGTTCAGGACAATTCAGGACGAAACGCAGCAGTTTGTTTTACTCGGCAGTGCCGGCAACCACACTAGCACAGAGGCTGGCACAGTTTCGATGCAGCGGATCCAGGAAATGCCTAGTACAATACTGTGTACGTGCCGGGGCGTACGTTTGAGCGCGGCGCAGCAGTCGAGCGCGGGGGGTGGCGGGCGCGGCCCGAGCGTCGCACGTGCACCAGCAGCTCGCTGACGCGGTAGGACGTGCCGCCAGCCCGCTCCGAGAACGTGTCGTAGGAGGCCGCGCCGCCGGCCGGCAGCGTCTCGGTCGACTGGAAGGCCGAGTCGTCGCTGTTGGAGGCGAGAGTGAGCCGCCCGTAGTCCTTGCCGTCCGCCTCCTCCACGATGTCCACCTGGGGCCGCGATGACGGATGGGACGCGTGAGCAGGCGTGCGTTACAGGCATATGCACAGACGGGCATTGCCTCGTTCAAACACTTCTATCTAAGTATCTATTACATGCGTCAGCATGACATAAGTCCTCCCCAAACCAATGTAAACTGGCCACTCGACTACCTTCCTATGTACCAATGTGGCCTGATCACGGTACAGTGCCTGCCCGTGCCAGTGTGACCTGATCATTATGCCGTACTTGCCCGGTACCAGTGTGGTCTGATCGCGGTACAGCGTCCGACCCGTACCCGTGTGACCTGATCATTACGCCGTACCCACCCCGTACCAGTGTGACCTGATCATTACGCCGTACCCGCCCCGTACCAGTGTGACCTGATCATTATGCCGTACTTGCCCGGTACCAGTGTGGTCTGATCGCGGTACAGCGTCCGCCCCGTACCAGTGTGACCTGATCATTACGCCGTACCCGCCCCGTACCAGTGTGACCTGATCGCCGGCCTGGGTCTCGGACAGCGGGTCGGCCGAGCAGGCTGCCACGTGGTGACGCACGAACGCCGTCCGTCTGAGCAGCTGGTGCAGAACGCAGCAGACGGCCACCAGCAGCAGCAGCGAGCAGCAGAAGAACACCAGCGTGTTGAGACGCACGTCGTCCAGCAGCAGCCGCGTCAGGATCCGGCTGGTCGAAACCAGCACGCCGGCGGCGCCTATCGGAGGAAAATGACACCAAAACACCCAACATGGAGCAGCGCGGACCATCGGCCCAGCAGCTCCGTCGTTGTGCAGACATGAGTGTAACTACGTATCTGAGATGGAGGGGGGGGGGAGAGAAGGGGTATCAGGACCACATGGGTTAAACCGGGATCTTGGACTGGCTTTAAAAAACAAAATGGAAAAACGTGAATCGGTAGCGGCAACACAGCCCCTGGATGTGTTTTGACAGCGCCTTGAAAACCAGACTAGCACAGACAACACTTAAGGCGGTGAATTGAGAGCAAGCCGGGGGGGGGTCTACCAGCAGCCGTGATGTTGGTGGGGTTTGGAGCCGCGCATCGGCGCCCGCTCCCCGATCGGCGCGGCGCCGCCTCCACTCACTCTCGCCCGTCATCACGGCCTGGGTGTAGCGGTTCGGCAGCATGCCCGTGTAGCCGTAGAAGCTCGACTGCTGAGCTGGAACCGGCCGACGACAGCTGGTGATATGTGCAGCGGCGGGACCAACGGTCAGGTCACGCGGTCAGGTCACGCGGTCAGGTCACGCGGTCAGGTCACGCGGTCAGGTCACGCGGTCAGGTTGCGCTGTCGATTCGTTGTCACGGGGAGAGCAACGGGGGTCCTCATATTGAACAGTCTAAAACCACTGCATTCCGCGATAGTTGCTAACATTCATACGGTCGTTGACGTAAATGGAATGTAAATAAGTCGCCTGATTAAATACATACATCAGTGAGGTTGGCAGTGTTTAAGTTTTTCACGTGGACCAACATTAACCGTACCTCCTAAACACCAGCAGTGGTAAGGGACAGGCAGAAAAGCAGGTAAATGTTGAGGCAAGAGACACAGACCGTGGGCGATATACACAAACAACCAGTCAGTCTTGCAGATTGAATACATTAGATTGAGCACAGATCTTAGATGAACTGCAATAAACAAAAGTATGAACGTATATTGAAAAAGGTCAAAAGAGGACTTCCGATTCACATTCACGGCTTCCTCAGTGCCCGTTTTTTCCAATAAAAGAACAGTGACACAGGTTGTCACGATGAACTACATGTGCTCCGTAATGTGCCCAGGTAATCGTGACGAATGGCCATTGACTCAGCAATTTTTGGAGCAACCACATCTTTGCAAGCACGGAACATTTGCAGGTTTTCTCCGGTGAGTTGGCATCGTGGAAAACACGTGATTTATATTTTCCCAGTTTGTGAAATGTTCTTGCATTGAAAAACTGACACTGAGGAAATCGTTAAGGTAAAACGTTTGTCCTGTTTTTTTATCCTATTTTATTACACCATAATAATTTTGGTGTTCTAATTCTTTGCATAACCAGATTAAATGCATTGTAGTCGGCCACTAATAATCAGGGCAGCACCACGAACCTTGAGTAAGGGGGGCAGGGTTTCCCAGGGGGCCTCCTCACGGCAGGGGGTGCTGGGCATTGTCGTATTTGAGAGGGAGGCACCGGAGGCATGTGCCCCCTTATCAAATTGTTCCCTACCCCCACATCTAAGTAATATCCGGAACGGATGCATTATGATTATCCAGCAAAATGTCTCGCTCTCCTAAAATAAAGCCTTCTGTTCCAGAAAAGAGCCTTCTGATACACAGAGGACCATCCTAATCTAGAACAGGATGCTTCCGATTAATGATGAGGCCTCCAAATCTAGCCAAGTGGCCTAATTATCCCAAAATCGGTCATTCCGATCCGGAACCGCAGACATCTGATGTATGCAAAACGGCCTCTTGTTATAGAAATGGGGCCTCCTAAACATGGAGAGTGACTCCTGACCCAGAATACATGCCTCCTAGTCCGTAACGGGAGTCTCCCGAGTCAACAAAGGGCCTCCTTACCACGACATCGTGGTAATGGCATGGGCTACCTTGTACATAAAGGTGGCCTTATGATCCAGTAAACGGCTCTCTTGATACAAAAATGCTCTTGTGAGTCCGATTTATTACTCTCCAGCTGAGTTATTGGGGCCTCCTTGATCCAAATTTCCACAACGGTTAGCGAAAGCGCCTAAAGTCCGCGTAAAGGGGCCGACACATTTTGTGAGAGTGAAAAATATCCTCTTGCCCCCTGGCTGCTGACAGGGGGACAACCACTCCCCTGCTCTCACTCCCACCTGCCGGACCGCTACTGGTCAATATTCCTGAAGTACGACCTTCATCATGGCATTTGCGTTACCCCTCAGATAAAAAGACAGACCGAACACTGGCACACCCTGTCTGCCAGCGGACTGTGACCTTTGCTAACCTATATTGACCAGTGACCAGTGTGCCATATACTATGGGACCTGTGGAGATCAGCCACCTGCGGCGAGCGTGACTCACACGTAACTTGTGGTGACCTGTACCAAACTGTGACCTGTCGCCTAGCACCTTCACCTACATCAGACCTATGGTGAGTGACCTGTGCTGACCTGTGCAGCCGACGGCGACCACGGAGACGGCCAGTAGGTTGACACCGTACGAGGTGGTGTTGCTGAACACCTGCCACCAGATCTCGAAGACGGCGACGAACAGCAGCGTAACGAATGACAGCACGTATCCTGCAACGACACCAGGTCCTGTCAGAAGTGTCCCAAACGACAGGAGGTCCTGTCAGAAGTGTCCCAAACGACAGCAGGTCCTGTCAGAAGTGTCCCAAACGACAGGGTCCTGTCAGAAGTGTCCCAAACGACAGCAGGTCCTGTCAGAAGTGTCCCAAACGACAGCAGGTCCTGTCAGAAGTGTCCCAAACGACAGCAGGTCCTGTCAGAAGTGTCCCAAACCCAGATTCGCCTTACGCAGAAGAAATGCGCCTTTTCTCTGAGCTGCCTCATTAGAACGCTCCCAGGTGGCCGGTTGAATGCACTTCGCTCGAGTGGGGGCCAATTGGACCCTCTGAGATCCCGAAAACCAAAATAGCTAGACACCGAATTCACATGATAAGTTTTCCGGTACGAAAGCTCCCTTACGTCGAAATTTAAAGTTCCTATGTCATCACCTTGCGGTCAGGTAAGGTAAGTAAGATTAAACTCCAGATTGGTGTCCGAACTGCTGGTAAACCTCCTGATACCACCGCCGTGAAGCTAGATTTCTAATTGTATTGCATCAATTCTAATTTCTACTCTAAGCAAAGTGTCAGTCGCGTTTATTTAAGGCCAGTGTTCTTTTTAATCTTAAGAAGGTCACGGTGACCAAAAAGCTACGATATTGTACCTATTTTCCCACTTGAGTAGGCGGCAAGGAAAACAACAGGCGGTATCTTGTTAAAACCGGCAGATGAGAGGTGCATAGGTTTCCCATCGATATGCCCAATTTCTGTCGATAGTATTCATCTCCGTACGCCCTAACCGTTTACACGTAATGCATACTTGCGAGATTCCCCAAAAACAGAGAAACCTCTTCAGCGAATTTTTTGTAAAGACGCATTCAGGCTCAAATTCAGCGAGGTATGTACCCTATACCCCTTCTAGAGCTCAAAGTAATCTACAGAGCACAGGACCATCCGGACAGGAAAATGAGTGAATCCAATCTTATAATAATTCAGTGGCCAGACCTTAACGTACGGGGATCATCATGGCCGATTATGCAAATGCGATAAGTGCCCTGATGTGTAATGCGTGCTCGCTTAAAATCGTTTAAATGTATGAGTGATGCCTGACGCGTGATGCGCGATGGCTGTTTAATTGAAATATTTTGTAGGTATAAGTGATGCGTGATGCGTAACACCTGTTTACTGCAAATTACATGAATGTGTGAATGATGTGTGATGCTTGATACCTGTTTACTCGAATTCGTTCGCATGTACACGTATTTTTCGAACATTTTGGATTCTTAGTTGGATACACACGGCATCGTAGTAGTGGCTGGTAATTGCTTTCTTTAATCCCCAAGTGTTGTTTGCTTGTAAAAACTGTGACTCGCCGTTCAAAATGCTGAGTATAGGATCGGCAGGCAATTTTGAATTACTCCTGATCTCCCTTCTGATAAAGGTAAACAGCCGAAACATCAAGACATTTGTCTCTCCATTCTCCTGGTTATTCTACGAGGAAAAGGCTGACAGTGCTGTCTTACCCAAAAATGTTAGAATATGCCTTTGATTTCTCCGCTATGGCCCTCACCACAGTGGCTCTTTTCGAGGCACACTTTGGCTTCGAGAATGGAAGCAATATATGATTCATGTCGCGCAGTGGTTCAAACTTCCACCAATCCGCTTCCCGGTAACAGGCCCTTCCCCCTGGGTCAATCAAAAACATTATTTTACTTGCATCAATAGAAGTGTGCATTGTGTTGTAATGACGACAGTGATCGCGACTGCAGGAAAGAGGCGCAGTGCTGTTTCGAATCGTTGACAGCGTAATTCGGACTCCTAAATAATCAACATTGACATCTCCATTGTGTCTTGACGGTGCTGCAGTGGCACTACCCAGTGTTTTGATTAGACGTAACTGGTCCTGAGGTTTCACTATTGTTCGTTTAAAAAAAATGCCTCGGAGACGGGTTCTTTCGGGAGGAGGAGGAGGAGGTTCTTTCAACAGGAACATTGTGAACATCTTGGTAAGCATTCCACACAACTTCCAGTCCGAAGCGTGCGTGGCTGAAGTGCACTGATAATCATCGAGCACAATTTTTTGTGTAAACCATACAGCATACTGCACTGGCAAGTCAAAATGAGAAAAAAGCAAAATGTGTACGTAAAATCGATTCAGGGAACCACTTTGAGGTGTGCAATGACGACAAGATACGATATCATGACGGTTTAATTTCTTCGATCATGTTGCAGAATGTTTGCCTTTCTTAACTATTTCAGCTGAACCTCTCCAGTTTTTTCACATGCAAAGTTCAAGGTAGAATTACCATGGTAAGGTAGAATTGCCAGTTACCAATTACTAGCAACACAAGGTAGAATTACCATGAACATATTACTGACTACATAAAACATACAAGATAAAACGTGGTGTTCATATATTGCTTGGAAGCCATCAATAGTTCATGTTGATGCTAAATGACAGCCTCTGACTGCTGTCTTTGACAAGCTATTTCAACGTTAGGCGCAGTCCTGTAATTATTATGTCATTTTGGCAGGAAACTAGCTAATGCATGTTGAGTGGAAGATTGTGAACATGTTGGTAAACATTTCCACACTATCCGGTGTCGGCGCATATGACCCAATTGCAGATACATACACACACACACACACACACACACACACACACACACACACCACACACACACACACACACACATATATATATATATATATATATATATATATATATATATATATATATATATATATATATACTTAGGCAGTATGCTTTCATTAAAGCAGGTTTGTTATACGCAAGATGAAATGTACATGCAATCAGTGTCTTGTGCGTTTGTTCGATTGCTCAAATTAAATCCTTCGCTGTTTTTGGTATGTCATAAATCAAATTGCCTATTGTCATAGATATTAGTTTAGGCTGGCCAGTATTTCAAGGACATTCACTTCCCATTCTTAAAGCAATGTAAGACGGTCGGACGGAAAATATTCGAAGATGGAAAATTGCGAGGCATGCTCTACAACACATAATCATTGGTAAACCATCAGTTGACGGATTATACATCCGAATATCTGGTCAAAATTACAAAACACATACAAACAGAAGCATATCAGTTTTCCAGCCAGTATAACAGCACGGAAAGGCAAAACATTGAATCCCCCTACTGTCATTGAGTGGCTGAGCATGTCCAAAGAAATGCATGACTTAATTTGTTTGCTGAAGTCGGGCATTCTTTCTCTGATGAGGATGGATTCAAGAACTTGTAAACGGCGTTTTTTCAGACACACGCCCCCCCCATATATAATATATATATATATTATATATATATATATAATATATATATAATATATATATATACATATTCACGACCATCATTTATGCAATGTGCCACGCTGGCGTTGTGCACGGCAAAGTGAATTGGACAATAGCAAAAGAAGTATATTCGTACAATTCAATAAACCATCTTTATGTTCACCATAAGTGCAAGAGTGGCTCAATGATTTCATGATAGCGACAGGAAGAATGGGTAGTGAGTGACCTAATGCGAGGTAAAGCAAATAGGCTAAGTAAGTATTTTGCGGCAGAGTGGAGCCAAATATTTTCATTTAGCATGCGCCCCGATGGCAGGTTGAGCGCCATTCGCCCAAGTGGGGGTCAGTTTGACCCTGCTGAGATCTCAGAAATTCAGAAAGCTAGAGGCACCAAATTTACAGGGTGTGTTGGCCTGTGCATGAATTCACTTTCGGCAAAATGTGGGGTTCGTAGGTCATGATCTTCAGGTCAAATAAGGTCAAACCAGACAAAACTCCAGATTGGTGTCCAATGTGTCCCGAACCTAAATACCTGTTCTGAACAAAAGATCACTGGTGCTCATTTAAGGTCAGTTACCTTGTTTAACTTTGTATATTATGGCATGTTGTACACTTGAAGATGTTAAAGCAAACATCAAATATAACGAAAAAGCTTTCTTATAGCTATTTGTATATTTCGAAGCGGAAGAGACTGCTTTACACAACACAATTTTCTATTTAGTGAATATGCGTCATGCGTCAACACGTCATTGTTTAATTGCGTCATGGAGCTTCTGTATGTCGTTGAGGTGCTGCCAAACTAGCCGTGTGAAATTGCTTCTGGGCACTCGCTTGTAGTACTTCAATCTCCCGGGAGGTGGCCGTGGCAGTGCTGGAGGCGTGGCCGTGGTGGTGCTGAACCAAACGTCATTATATGCTCGTGCTTTGCCCCTTTCTCCTGGTGTTTTACACATTAATCCCGGAATGTAACGCGTAATTGTGATGAAATCCGACCCACTTGTCCTCCTTTTTGTCTTATCCTTAACCATCACGGCGCCCCGCTAATCCGGGGCAGGTGTTTGCGCACGCCACGAGTAGGTCGAGAGACCCCCTGAGAAGGGAGACACGACCGGGCTCTCAGCGTACCCAGGGGGTTCCTGCACGGGCTAAAGCTCGGCGGCTGGCCTCCTGGGCGTACGCAGTTCTGTCCCACCGATGTCCGTTCTCCTTCATCCCATAACCCTCAAATAATTACTTCTGGTCGAAAGGGGTCTAGTCCACACATGCAATCGTGATGAAAACTGGCTGCGCCCGCTCAAAGTCGACTAAGAGCAAATTGGCGTCCATTAATCTGGCCATGGTACTCCCGAACGCCAGATATTAACGGCGCGTTGGTTATATTTTTGTTGGCCTTGAACACGGCATGGCTGATGGGGTGGCAGGCGTTGAGTTACGACTCTATGGCGACATGCGTGTTTAACCGCGCCAAGTTAGCTTCGTAGCCGACTGTCAATGATCATGGCATAACTCGCCAAAACAACTATATCGTCATCTCCAACGAACATCATTCACCCGCCTTGTCACACAGCCATCATCCCACATGGTCAAGCAAGTCACCACCTATCCCAGCCCCCAAAACCAACAAGACCATGACCCTACAGCTAAGCCACCGGTTGTCCGACCGGACGGCCTCGCAACTGACCGAAGACAAAACTATGGACTCCACAGCTAAGCCACCGGTGTTCAGCCGGGCGGCTTCGCCACTGACCGAAGAGGGATGCGCTTGTGCAGGTCAACGGCCCTCCACCAGTACGTTGTTGAGCAGCACTGAGCAGAAGGCCACCAGGATGTACGTGAGCGAGAGATCGAACACGATAGTGGAGCCTGGGTACTGCGCCCTGGAAGTAGTCGGCCGCCACGATGAAGCTGTGGAAGACGGGAGCGATGACGGCGTTGGCAGCGCCAGTACGGCAGCACACGCTGATAGAGCGCGCGGCGCCTTGTTCGACAGGCCTATGCATAGACGCATAAATTATATATGCATAATACGCATCTAATATTCGTCATGAGGGTGGTGTTGTAGACTTCCTGTAATGGAAACATTGGCCTCACGTTTGCATTCAGACAAGCATTGGCAGTCAGAATGCTCCACATTCGAAGCTTTTTGAGGCAGACACCAGGTGTGTGAAAGCTAAGCTCACTTGGAACTATCGGTTTGTTTTTAAACATAAAAGATCGCTCGATAAAACAACAGATCACTCCGTAGTAAATATGTTCTTAAATGCGTCCCTCGTTTGATCACGTCATAGGACGTCTTTATGACGTCAGAGTCGCTGCCAGAGTGGCCCGTGTCAGAACTGCCTCCGTAACCGACGGACTGACCATCACGTCATAGGACGTCTTTATGACGTCAGAGTCGCTGCCAGAGTGGCCGTGTCAGAAACTGCCTCCGTAACCGACGGACTGACTCACTTGTAGTGTTTCAGCCTGCTGAGATGTGGGGGGCGTTTGCTAGTGCGTGTTCGCCGAGGACAGAAGTTCGTTATGTACTCTTGTGTTGGGTCTTTCTCATGGTATTCTTGCATATTTGTCCGTGACTTTTGTGTTGTTTACTTGCGTTCACGCACTCAGTCGTGCTGTTATTCTTAGGCTATTAAATTTCCAGCCTTGTTTTCGTCATAGCGCGTACCGCTGTTCTAACCCTTATATTGCGAACACGAAACCTAATTCGTGCTCGAAGGTTGCACTCAACGGATTGCGTTAGTTCCTTGTTAATTGATGCCGGTCGACGTCACAATTGTGCAGACGTATTCCAGACATGAATAATTTGCTGATCATATTTTTCTGGGCCTCAAGCACTACATAGTTCAAGAAGTGACCTTGAAATAGTCTGCACATGCTTGCGGGTTGTCAAGCTCGGAAACAAGAGAATGCTAAGTTTATTTAAGCCTTGTGAAAGGCTTAGCTGTGAAATGCACTGAATGATCTTCAAAATAACTACTTCAGCCCAAACCCCACACAAAGGTGCAGCACTTCCTTTTAAAAGTGGTTTAAAATGATAGGATCATTTTTAGGGGTGTGATTAGTTTAGATTGCAGAAAGGGGTAAACATTGAATATAGTTTTTTACCGCCAATTTCCATCATGTAGACGGCAAGGCATGTCCGATGAATGCAGTAAAACCTGAATTTACACGTCAACATGGTTTATTGAGAGAGTGGAAATAAGCCTAAAGACAATAGGGAGCTCATTTTCGACCATTTCTGCCCCTCCCCCCCCCCCCCCCACATGGGTCAGGTCTGCTAAGGTTACCGTCAAAAATTGGTCCACCATAAGCCTACCAAAATGTTACTTTTCTCCACAATGTGTTCTGAGTTCATTTTGTTCGATGCAGCTGTCGGACAAACGTGTTCCAGAAAACAAATATATCGTTTTATGGTGATTTAGAGACAATCTAAGTCAACTCAGGCTAAATTTACAACTCATCCCGCTAAAAAGATTAAGTGCTAGCCGGCCGATGTGAGCACTACAATGCATTTTTGTGGTCAGAAACAGTGTATTGGACACCTATGGGCACTGGAAAGATCGCATAGCTGTTGTTTACACTTATAGACAGTTCCTCCGGCGTTTGGCAATGTATTTGTAGCAACTTGAGAACAGGTACGTTGCTCATGAAATTAGACATCAGCTCACAAACAAAATAAGAAGGTAGCCACACGCGTTCGCACTCCCTCATCCAGTCTCTCCGCTGCTGGCAACGTAGGTCGTTGATCGTGGATGACCTTCTATACCTTGCATGACCCGTTGGGACTTACGCATTATCATTTATCTCAACACGTTTTAGGTGAAATATTCAAATTCTGCGGCCAAATTGCCTAAAAACTGTCTATTTTGAGCTTAGTTTGGTTTTGCAGGATGTACTCATAGAGATAGGCCATGACCTGGGCCGAGGTCATGTGCTCTGTAGTCATATGATAGCTGCACATGTAAGTTACTACTTTTTTCCTCATATACAACAAAAAACTACACAAAAATACGTCCAAACGTGCACTGCTTACCACAGATAGCAGCAATTGACCTGTCATTAGGTCAACAGCCTCACATATTCCGAAAGTCTGAAATATTAAGACTGTACGCGCTATTATGTTTTACTACTATGCAAAGTTTGAACAAAGGCAAATGAGCCCCGAGGAGGTTATATGTGGTAAAAAATAGAGGTTTATCTCGTTAACCTGATATAGGTCACTGATCTTGGTAGATAAAACTTCAATTTTGAAGAGCTGATTCCAAGTTGTTAGATGAATAGGTACCGAGAATTTGGTGTCGCTGCAAGCGTTTATTTTTGACCTGTGCTCGAAAAGTCATAGGGGAGAATGAACTTCCCCGGGGCGGGGCGTGGTTCACCTTATACGCGACATCACTTTTACTGCGAATATCCTTACACGACACGAGTGCAACTTGTGCGCGTCATTTCATCTACTGCACAAACTTATACAGTCCCTGCTTACAAACGGCATTACTTCTACCGCAAAATTCAGACAAGTCATGAGTTCTACGCGCGGGGGTGAAAAACCTGTCTTTTCCGTCACCGGCAAAACTTGCAGCAGCTTAAATTGTCATCTTGAGTCAAAGCAACCAGAAACCCGCTGCAGTATAATCCTATATGCGATATGCCACAAAAACAAAGATAAGCCAAATGTAATGTGGCATAGCTATCAAACACGTTCGTATCGGCAGTCTCATTTGCACTGAAGTTTCATTTCTGGCCATCAAACATTGAATGCTGGTTGAGATTAATCTAATGAAGTTGTCATATAAAGACGTGCTTAGCATAATGAGCCCTAGAGGGGTGCACTTTCCTGTTTATGTGGGGATGGGTGGAAGAATTATACCTCCCAACCAGGAATGTATTTTCCTATTGTTATTTGTGATTTTTTTATTCATCATTTTTACCAAATCGTTATTTCTTTGATACAACGAGGGCGATGTTTATGGTCATATTAAATTCGCCACATATTTATTAGTTAGATAATACCTCCTTAGGCATTGTCTCATCGCATGTCATAAACGCTTTGAGACAATTAATGGTACAAAGACAGTATTCAATTCTTGCTCGAACTGGCCCAGTGATCAGATATCTAGAAGCGGCATCACTGACTCGGTAGCTTGGCACTCATGTCGGCTTCCAAAGACGAGCCGACTGATTCAATTGATTCGCGCAACTCCTTTGCTTGAATCTCTTGTTTGAGCCGTGACAGAACTTGAGCTGCTTCTTCCTGGCACTGGCAGGCTGTTCGAGTCCTTTGCTAGCCTTATTCAACAAATTAAGCACATCACGTCACCAGCTGTAAGCGTGGGTCATAAAGATTCTGGGTGAGATGATCGGATGGTTCTACAAATGTTCACTATGCCTTCTTGTGCCGCAATAAGGTTCACGGCAAAAGTGCGTTTGACGCGGCATTTCATAAATGCATAGCACTGCATCTTGTCTGCTGCTCCTAACACCTCGCAGTCTGGTCGCCAACTGACCACGGCTGCGCATTTGCCGTTGTTCGAGAACGGCTGCGTCATCTCTCCGACGCGACGGTCAGTGTCCCACATTCGCACCCCTTAACCACTTGTTTGCGGAGCGTGACCAAAAGCGGGCGTCGCGAGGCCGACCCCATCCCCACTTCACTTGCCCCGTGGCGACATCGGAACGCGAATGAGATATGTATGCTCACGTTTCCTGTCCTATACAACCATCGAACAGTTTTGCAAATTTACCTCAACAAAATGCTAGCAAAAGCAATTTATCAACGTTTGACCTGATGTGACCTTGAACTTGACCTCGGGTTTATGAAATCTAACTCAAGGTTATATGGATAATCAAGCATAGCAACGACTGGCGTTGACCGCCTGTCGATATATCTATTAGGTCGGAGATATGTAGAGATAGCGTTCGAAGCGCCACCTATACGCACTTTTGCGAGGCTCAAAAGCGATTTATGTGCCAAAATATATGTTCTTAAAATTCTTATGGAAAGGCTAGGTTAGGGTGCAGGTTAGGGGCCATCAAAGAACGTTATGCTGATGACCTCTCAGAAGGTGCCCAAGGCTCTTCTAAGAGGTCATGCAGGTTGGTGTGTGGCCATGGTCACGGCTCACTCGGCGACCGTGCTCGGCGAGGTCTAGTATTGATAGAGTCGTCTTTCGAGCCTCAGACTACTCTAATGACGTAGTTTCAGGTTTTTCGACTAGACAAGAACGTAAAATTCGGGTTTTCGTGTGTGTTTGTCCCGAATGTCCCAGTCATCAGTCATCTACATCTTACCATGTTTTGCCATAGAATCTTATCTTCTTTATCATGTTTTGCCATCTGAACTGTGCTATATGAGTGCCCTCACGGACTTAATTGCGAGAGAAGGTACGCTCGTCACTGCCTGAGCTACACGTGAGGTGAACTATATATCCCGGCCACCTTATGTGAATCGTAGTTTCACATCAGAGAGCTTGGTTGATTCATCTTCCGACGACTTCTCTGCAAACCTGATGTGCTGTTTTGTTAAACCGATAGCTTGCGCCACAATCGGGATATGTTACCCAGTCTTTTGGGCATCCGCTCAAACGAGGCGCTCCGACTTATTGAGTTACCGGACGGGATATAGCGCGTTTCGGAAGGGACGGTTTTAAGTGGAGTTTGACGGTATCTCTCTCACCTGGTTTGGCCAACATACACAGCGTCGAGAAATGGAATCATCACACTTTGTGCGCTGTTCTCCAGAGCGAAATAAATATTGTGGTGATGTCCGTCGGTTTTAACAAGAAAGCTGGCCATGAGCACAGCTTCCAAACGCCGGGTTTTCTCAGTGTAACGACTGCTTGACTGATACATTGTCAATCATGTGATCCCAGTTGCCATATAATGTTCTTCCAGCTATCTACATATCTGTTGCGAATGTCGCGCAGTTCAGTTTCATTGTTATGCAGGTACATCCTGCAGTGTCGACGACTTTTGTATGGGCTCCCGTCCGTGCGTGTCAGGTTACGCCATTCCGCACGAGACTATGCTTCTGCGCGTCGGGCCGCCATTAATGAACGAAAATCGACACTGTTTTTCGTTGATCGCGGCCGGTTGATTTACCAACATTTTTTTGTTACACCCTCGCTTTAAGCTTTTGTATAGAAATGCTGCTTCACCTCAGCTCCAAATGGGAAGACATTCCTCAGCATCAAAACCATTTTGGAATCAGCCAAATATTTTTGTTTATTGACAAGAGAAAACTAATTTAAGTGTCAGGGATCGCAAATAAATCAGGATTTGGGTTAGATTAAGACAGCTTTATCGGCTCAGTCCCCAGCCGACTTAAGGAAGTGACACCTCCGAGTGGGACATGACAGCTGTTTCAGGTGCGTGCTGCACTTGTGCACCCTGCTGTGCTGGTCCTGTGATTGAATTGCGGCTGTTTGGATCTGCATGCTGCTATCTATGCTAGTTTCTATTATATTTAAAACTAATAGCTTTCCTGCCACCAGATTTCGGAATTATAATCATGAGTCGTGAAAATACGCTCGAACTTAATCGGAGTGAGCCGGCTCCGGCCGGCAGCAGTTTCTGACCTGCTGCCCTGGGCATCATAAGCTCTGACCTGTTGGGCAGGAGGAAGCCGGCTCCGGCCAGCAGCGCCCAAGTAGACGCCGTTGTAGCGGTCGGCGGCGGCGCAGGCCCAGCCACGCAGAGCCGGGGCGGTGCGCTGCGGCCGGCCGCCAGGCCCCGACTCAACGTCTCGTCCATGTCACCCGCTCACGGTCTGCAGAGTGACATGGTGTCAGGGTCGGCAGGGCCACACGGTGTCAAGGTCTGCAGGGTCACACGGCATCAGGGTCTGCAGAATGGCATGGTGTCAGGATCGGCAGGCAGAATGGCATGGTGTCATGGTTGCAGGGTGACACGGTCAGGGTTTGCAGGGACAAGGTGTCAGGGTCGACAAGGCCACATAGTGTCAGGGTCTGGGTCACACGGCGTCAGGGTCTGCAGAATGACACGGTGTCAGGGTCGGCAGGGTCACACGGTGTCAAGGTTTGCGGGTTAACACGGTGTCAGGGTCTGCCGGGTGACACGGTGTCACGGTCGGCAGGGTCACACGGCCACATTCTGGGCGCGTGCTGCCACCTGGTTAGGGAGTGGTGATACGTTTGTCTGAAGTTCCTCACACGGTCCATGCACGAGGGTGCGACCAATGTAAGGCTGCATCCAGACGTATTAATGATACGCAAACACACGGGTGATGGATGCACCCACCTACAGACTATGAGACCAATATCGAACTTTCAACCGACGCCCGGCTTTTCCACCCACCGATTTCCACCTGACAACGCGTACATCGTGGATGCAAAGACCATTCACAATGCGTCATTTCTGAGCTCACTTTTGCGCTTACTAACACTGCCCTTAGATTTTGCCGACATTTTCATCTACTCTCCCTTTTTATACTTTCCTACGTCCATAATCACTTGATCTTTTGTGCGTTTCAACTTTCCAGTTGGGAGTCCCAAATATAAATGTGAAAAGGGCCTAGGTGGCAGGCCATGATACACCCATTTCTTGTGAAAGTTTGACATTAACGCAGCTGACGGACAGAAAGACTTGACTAAAGAATGAGGCCTGGGGGTTTTAAGCCACTCATTTTTAGACTCTAAGACGTCCCTGACACCGAGAACCACACACAATGCTACAAGTTATCCACAGGGAGCTCTCTTTAAGTTCTGACCTTGCGAGATGACCTGTTACGGTCGGCCTCACCTGCATCTCAGCCTTCAGCATGCTGGGGCGCGCTGGAAGTATCGGTGCCGCCGACGGCTCGCCGCCAGCTGACTGCGCCGTCAGCTGACTGCTGGACCACCATCGATCGCCAGCGCCCCTCGAGCTCTTTCGCCCGCAGGCGCTGGCTGGCCGTCCAGCCCGCGAGCCGCGCGCGCCCGCCGACGCGGCGCCGAATACGTGGAAAACGATCCACTGAATCGGACATGCCGTGATCGAATCGGGATATTTGTACCTCGCGAAGTCTAAATCAGGATAGCTGTGCCGAGTGAAGTCGGAATCTGGATGTTTGTGCCGTGCGGACTCTAAATCAGAATATTGTGCGTTGCGGGAATCTGAATCGGGATATTTGTGCCGGTGCGGAGTCTGAATCGGGATATTTGGGGGGCGCGCGGAGTCTAAATTGGGATACTTGTGCCTTGCGGGCTCTGAATTTGGATATTTGTTGCCATGCAGAGACTAAATCAAGATATTTGTGCCGTGCGGAAATCTGAATTAAGAGATTTGCTCCGTGCGGAATATGAATCGGGATCATTGGTGCCGTGCGGAATCTGAATCGGGATATACTGTGCCGTGCGGAGTCTAAATCGGAATATTGTGCCGTGCGGGTCTGGATCAGGATATTTGTGCTTAGCGGAGTCGGTTGTCAACTGACAGGTCATCTTTGGCCAGCCAATTGCCAAGCACATCACTCACATCAACAAGGCACGTCAATACAGGCACATTATGCCCCGACTGAGTGGCCGCATATACAAAACAAATAAGCATTATTAGGCTTACATGGGATGGCCGTTTTCACATTTGACCTCATTTGAGCTACGCTTTTTAACACTACTGAAACCCCTCACTTCGTTTCAGGCAAGAGGGCACATAATCTTTATTATAGTCTGGTTGAACACCAAGCGGCACATTATCGTTGCTCGTTCAAAGCGCTGAAGGACCATTCCGTCCCAGCGCGGATACCTCAACGGCCTACCATTCTGACGACACGGAGGAGTGATTCCCTGGTCGATCCTAGATGCCCTTGGGCCTCCCTGGCTTTCTGACCCGCTCGGTTGGCCTGGATCGACGCAGGAGCCGTCCTTGACGCGATAAGATCCCTGATCGGCGCAGGTGATCTGATAATTGGCACATATACATCGGTTCCGCTTCAAGGGACCATGGCTGAAATCAGGTTGGATCCCCCACCGTTCGGTATTATGGCCCTTACCGACACGGGCCCCTTCCATTGTCTCAATGTGAAGTCTCATCATAAGTTATTATGTTTCATCTCATTTTCAAAAGTGCCCAGACCAACGCAAGAGGCCCTCTGAAATTCGGGACCTTGCCCCTGTCCTTGTTCAGCAAATGTTTTAGCCGACTCGGGGCTCTTGTCGACACAGGACGCCCTGTTAGTCACTGTGGGCATCGTGACGACACAGTATTGTTTCAGGCGCCCCGATCAAAACCAATTGCGGTCTCGACCTTGTCTTTAATTGAGAAATGGGGACCCCAGAGTTCTGGCCGACAGAACCGAATGCTCGGTTGGAAGTGATCTCTGGCCCAAAAAGAGGAACGCACAATCTGAGAGGTGCACACCGGTGCAAGAGGCTCTCTTATTGACCTTTGAGATCGCAGTCGCAGTCGCAGACCGGAAATTGAGTTATCCGCGATCTGATCATAATTTGATCCGCCATCAGATTGCTCAATGTACTTGGAAAGTCAAGTTACTTCCATAATGCTTAGAAATTGTATTCATGGACGCTAGATCTGAGCGGCTCAACGATTTATTATTCCTGGCCTTAAACGCCCCATGACTCATAGGAAGCCAATATTTTAATGGTGTCACTATGGCGTCATGTGTGCCGAGTGGCCTTGAATAGTCTTCACAAAAATCTGCGCATCTTCGCGGGGGTCCACGGCATTCGTGCTACAACAAAACTCCAACCGACAGAAGTGCCGCGACGTTACTTCAAATGTCAATGCCTATACACGATAGGAGAAGTAGCAGGAGAAGTGGTGTCGTGTATAAATAAACTCTGCATATTCTGCGGTAGATGTAATGCTGCTTATAACTGATGACATATCACTCCTGTTGCTACCATATTTTTTCTTGTCGTAGCACTGACATCCTGACACTCTTCGCGGCGCGCAGCTTAGAAACTGGAGGTTTTATCTTGAAGGGAGTATTCCCACCTTTATATGGGGTTTTGAACTGGAAATAACCATCTTCAGGGCCTTTTGATGCAATTCACGGTAGTGCCCTTTTAAAGACCCAAAAACCTCTAGTTCTTAAGTTAGACAGCCGCAAAAGTGGGAAAACACTCATTGCGGAACTACTTCAAGGCCAACTTGGCATTGATGTTGTCATAGAAACGTCATACGATCGCCGTTATATTACAGGCTGTTTTCTGCTTATGGTCAGAACAGCATCGGCCGCCGATACATTCGCAAAAGCGATGATGCGGCACGCATGACACAATCCTCGGAAGGCGATTGGCTGTAAATTAAATTTCGTTGATGTATGCGTGTCGCGAACGGAAGCGTGAGCACTTTCGAGTTGTGCGGCACTCGTCGTCAACGGGGCACATTTTTCCTTACTCCTAAGCCACAAGTCAATGCTATAAAAATACGAAAAACGCCACACTGTCTGCAAAAAAGTAGGGGCACCGAAAAAAGAGCGGCGCTCTCCCGAATGTTGTAAAAAAGAAGATGCGACGGGAAATCTTTTTTCTCCTGCTTGCGTTTTTTTTATTCATTCTTTTGATGTATGTCTTACAGACAGCTCGGGCTGGCGCCGTGTGCACCGGGGCAAAGAACCTTGCACGGGTTTATGGGTTAGCAAGGCTAGCGAAATATTACAAGAAATTTAGATGTATATTTTCCTAAAAATTTAACGCATGTTGCATCACAACTTTAAATCTGTAACAAAAAATGATGTCCTACAACTACAACCTCTTGAGTTTCGTACCATGAACCCCTGCTGGGATTTTGTTTTGCTGGGAGCTAGCGGTGAAATGCGGTGTTATAACCGAAAACCTTTGCGAAAATTGTGGAAAATCTGCAGTTTTACAGTCCCCCGGGCTGGTCAAGTATGGAACACACTTATTTGACATTAGAGTGTGAGCCGGGCGCTTGAAATAGTTGTGATCACTGGTGGTGCGTGCCAGGGTCTTATAGTGATCTTGATGTGGATGGGGAGTGTGCGTGCGAGGTTTGTACTTCTGAGAGAACATTGTTTTGATATTCTTTAAATCTAATGACTCCCAATAAAATGTGATATGTCGATACCTATCTCCCATCTTTATGTTTGCATTTGAGTATGACAAAGTAGTGATGCCAGTGAAGTGAAAGGAACACTGGCACCTATGCTGCAGAGGCGTACAGTGGCAATTTGCTGCTTCATTATGATACTGCCAACATTTTGAACCTATTGAGATATGGCAGCATGTGATTAATCCATTGGCGTGCATTATACTGTCAATTCATTTTGACAGTAGGGGCAGAGTCTGCGTGGCTCATTAATGCTCACGCTTGGTATAAGCTCGCATGATACGGCTGTTCAAAACTATATTTCCCTTAAGAATTCTAAAAACAAAGCGCTGTATTATTGTGGTTGCACATACTTCTGTCTTAACAAATTTTGTCTGCCGGCAAGCATTGCTTGTGAGTCATCATGTCAAAGTCACTGGAACCCGTGTGACATGCTAGGTGCTGAGGAAAGATGGAAAAGTATTGCTGCCGGTTTCTTGGATAGCACTTCATAGTATTTCTATCATGAGCCTTGTGTGCACTGGCAGCTTCATCACTTCCTTGTATTTTGCCCATCTAGCCATAACTATATGCATTTGTTTTGTCTTCAGCCTTGTTGAAGGTCATCAGGTTTGCAT